TAAGCAGTGTCACCATCACCTCAGAGGGGAATCATTCCCGGGAATCGAACCTGCGGTCGCTGGTTTTTCCGCTCAGCTGTCGACTGTTCTGTGGGCCGTGACGCGGGTCGGGCCCAGTCGTCTCCTCGGCCACCCATCGCTGACCGCGTGACGAACACCTGGATTTTGTCGCCGTGCATTTTCTGCAACAGAACGTACCCCTCAAAGTCACGGCGGTAGCTGCTTAAAAATAAATCTGAAATAAAATCTGACACTCGCAGTAAAGGATGATTTGCACCCCGACAAATGTGGTGTCAATATGCGTAGAGTTTTATTGCACTTTGCTATTTTATGGGTTTCTGTATCTCCTAAAGCACCTTCATAAGCAGGACTAAGCGCGTGTGGGGCGTGAGCCATTTATTCTTCTGATGCAATCGTTCAGCTAGTTTAGCGCAAACGAAGTTGCGAAGTCCAACTGAATGGTTGGAACTTGAATGATGACCATTTATCATAATCGCATTGTTTCTTTGCGATAAGCGACCTACCTCGGCATTTTCGCTGAAGGCACGCCATAAACGGCCATGTCATTCGCTCATCGATAAATACGGCGAACTGAAGCAGAATACCACAGGGAACATACAAAAAGGAGCAAAAGAGTGAAATGCATTCAACAGTCAACATTCGTTACTAACATATTTTAATGTGTTATTGCTGCCTTTGTCTGTTTAGACCAGGGGTCGGTAGCCTACGGCCCGCGGGCCGGATCCCGTCCGCGACCATCTGACGACCGACCCAAACCAAATACCTAGCATTCTGTTTCGGCCCGCGGTTCCTACAGAAATAAGTTTTTTATACATGCAAAGGTGACTTAGGTGTACTTTGGCACAATAGTTCTTCCTACACATACCTATTTCACTTTACTTTTCACTTGAGTTTATTAGTACCATTTCGAAATACCTCTGTCTAATTCTAGACAAAACTTGCAAAATTAAGCTTTGGTCAGTAGCTGTTTCTAAACAACTGCTGGCTACGAGCATTGCCGCCAACCACGCTCACCATACGATCACCATCCGCTTACCATCCGCTCCGATCGGCTTCGGCAGTCAGAAACGGGCAGACGTGCAGATGTACGTGCAAACGCGGTTACCATACTATGTTTCGACCCGCCGGCTGCTTCAAAATCTCAAATAGCCAGGTACCCAAGGAAGGTTGCCGACCCCTGACTTAAACGGAATGTACAATACATGCGTAATCGGACTTCAATCAACTCGGAATTGTAGTCGGAAGTTGTTACAGTGTATTTAATCCCAAAAGACATCCCCTCGACATTGACGAGATCATAAGCGGCGAAACGGGGAGGGCACCGGGGTACCGTGCCCCCCTTTGATTTTGGCATTTTAACATTTGCCCTTTTTGGCGTTGCATGGAAAGAATGAGACTAAAAATCGGCAGTGCCCCCCCCCCCTTGATTGAAGGTGTTCCGCCGCCACTGGACGAAATCAACCGACAGCATCCTCTTTCTTATACAAGAATGAAATGTTAGATAATTTACAAAACTTATATGGTGTTTCGAATGTTTCAAATATCTTCTCTTTTACCTCAGTGTTGCCCAAAACGGAAAACGAGAAACACCGTCATATAACTTGAGAAAGAAAAAGAAAAGATGCTTCGTCAAGATATCGTTCTATTTGAATATCATTTTGTTGTTGATCAATATCCACAAACGCGCTTAAGTCCCTATGCGATAAATACATGAACTTTGCACACGGGTAGCTACTACATAAATACTGGGGAATGCGATTCATTCATCTAGTGAAGCGATTCACCATCCAGAAAGAGATACCTAGTTTCTTTTATGTCCAGTTAAGAGTCTAAACGCTTCGGTGATATTTTTATTTACTTCGCTTTAATTACGCAGACTGAGACATCTTGTACTAAACGCATTTGAAAGGTAGGTAACACCATGTAACACATCATTTTAAACGCTCGCCAATTTACATTTACAAGCGAATTCGCATATGCGATGCGGTATCAGATATATCTATATGCAATACAAATAACAAGAATTGGGTGCCCAAATGTCCGTGCATGTGTCCACTCGAAGTTTTCCACATTTCATACCTTATCTTGTATGCTTAGTGCCGATCTCCAGTCGGTCTGCAGCGCAGTCCAGTTGTATCGTAGGCGCAAGCATCTACCTTCCTTGACGAGCCGACGTCATCTGGTCCGTCAGGCTCTGCTGGCCACCAGGCTCTCCAGTCTCCACACTGCCCCACCCCCACTCAAACCGGGCACCCAAACACTCCGTGAGTGACCCCGGCGACCCAGACCGACCGCCGCCGGCCGTCGGGGGTCACTGCCGCTCCGCTCCGACACGGTCACTCGGCCGGTGTGACTCGTGACGCGGCCGCACACCGGCTGTCACACGCCAGGTACTCGTATCGCGGCGGAGCTCCAGGGCAACCGCCCGTTCCCACAGTTCGCAATGCATACCTATAGTCGAGGGGCGAACCCCTGCCGCTGCCGCCGCACACGTCGCCCGGCAGTCGTACTCAATGGCGTCCTCCGGGCGTTCTCATTGTAAGATGAATGCATTTTCTCGTTAGGTAGGTATTATCTGGCATCGGATTAGTTTTTGTGAATGAAAGGAGCTCAAGTAGAAAAATGTGTCGAAAATAATTGAAATGATTGTTTCGGTCACCTTTTGAGTTCAGTAAGCGACTTTGCCACCAGGGGAGTGACATGAAGGTCCTACTGTTCCTCTTATTTTGACTTTTTTAATCGACTTAAAGCCCTGAGCTCTCGCTTAGTAAGGGCAAAATGGTTAAAAGGCCGGTTTGCTATCCGTAGCGAAACCTAGTTAGCAAGGTTCTGATTCCGAAACGTAATTAAAGGAAAAGGGCCACCTTCGTGAAATATGAAGATATCGTTGTTTTTCATTTTGACATTATTATTTTTCATTTTCTTTTTAAAACTGGTGCCAGAAGTGCACAATTCGCGAAAAAGTATTTAAAACTATTTAACATATTGGTACTATGTTGATACTCTCTACGGCACCTACTGTATGATGGCATAGCGATGACGTCACACTCAAGCCAATCAGCGTTCAAAAGACAGACTCGTCGGATTGTGTCAGATAACCTGATTGGTTAAAGCTGAGCTGGTTGGAGCTGATTGGTAAAAAAACAAAGCCTCGCCGCGGGTGGCTGTATTGTCGGATAAGAACGCATTCCTGGGATAAGGACGCATTCCTGGCGTATTTTCTTTTAAAATTGCCGATAACTACGAATGGAGGCCGAAATCGGCCGTAAGGAGGTAGACAGATAGGTTTTCGGACACGGGCTACAAGATGGCTATCTCAGTTTCAATCCCCATGTTAAAGGTGGCCCTTTTCCTTTAAATAGTTATGTCTTTCAAAATTTATCCCTCAACATGCCAGCGGATAGAACTTAGGCAAATAGAAAGACCTTAGGCAATAGGCATATATTTTTATCGAGTGCTAATTTGCATGGTTACCTACCATTCTTGTATACAATGAAGCGACATGGTTTTTAACATTAGTGCGACCCTCACAGAGACGGATATAATTTATTTTTACCTGACCTGAGTTAATTTAAATGTCCACTATCCAGCCCAAGGCCAGGGTCATGGTCTGACCAGAAAGACCACGTTGTTTACACGCATCAGTCGATCCACACCTACCTATTTATTAAATGGACGCATCGAACACATGTTTGCCTCGAAACAATGTTACAACATGAAATGGATATACTCGTATGTTACGGCCCGTTCGAGCAGCCGTCGGTCCGGCCTGGCCGATCCTCCGATGCATATTCCAATGCCTTAAAATCGTACCTATGTAGGAAGTTTAGTTTATAAAATTATCCGCTCACTGCCATAAATGTTCATGATAGAAACCGTAAGTGGATTTTAAATGTTTATATAGACGCACCATGCCAAAACATCTAAAGCAAAACAGGGGGCATGAGAAGATGCACTGGCAGTAACGACTAACATCAGTTCTTTAGTATCGGGAACATACGCAATTCCAGCTACAACATACGCTACTGCAAGCCATACGACGAAGAAATTTGTTTGTTATAACTCATATGGAGTTCTAACAGAAACAAGTTTTAAAAGCGTCTTTTGGACTGTTAGGTATTTCAGTTTAATTCATAGTTGTCAGACACATAGGCGGCGGAACGGGGAGGGCACCGGGGCACCGTGCCCTCTTTGATTTTGGCATTTTAACATTAGCCCTATGGGCGTTGCATGGAAAGAATGGGACCAAAAGTCGGCAGTCCACATTCCTTTAAAATTGAAGGAGGTACCTACCTATATTCAAGAGCTGGAAGACGGCCGATGGCCTTGACCTGGCGCCGATGGATGAGATGTGAGTCGTGACAGCCCTGGCGGGGTACGCGACACCGGCGATACCTGCTGTTTTTGCCGTTTGCGCTAGCCACCGCCAACCATCGCGTGCCCGGCCTCGATCACCACCGCCCCGAGCCGCTCGGCCGACCGTGCTGACGCACATTGCAGTCAACATCGCAGTAGGAAGCAGTAAGCACAACACTGTGCCGGCGCGTCCGTCAATTAGGACGGCCACACAGCCGGGGCGAGGCCCAGGGGTGCCTCCACTGGACTCACAAAGCACCGGTCAGGGGTCAGGCTGGAACGACAGCCCGACACAACAACACATGTGTCGCATAATACAAACTAACCGGTATCGTATAGCATAGTGGCGAAATCAGACCGCGCTATGTTTTCCAGATAAATTAGGAATAGTTATATCTGTAAGAAGTAAGAACCTTAAAAGACATAAAAACATAAAGATATAAATCTGTTGTACGATTCAAAATAGCATGGACAATAACCTAGCCGAGCGAACAAAAAACTGTCTTGACTAGTTGATGTTTTAGGAAAATTTCCTAATTTGGTATCAATTTGGTATCATTCAAGTGTACTCATTATGGCGTGTTGTTGATAAAGTGGCGCAGATATTCTGAAGTGTTTTATTAGGAAAGTTATACAAAAATTACGTCACTGGTAACATGCTGATTTTGTGTGAGAAATGCTTGCTTGTTGAAAAATTGTACGCAACGATTGGCCATATGCATGTTACGTCATAAATCTATTTGAGGAGCCTAAAAGTCAGTCAAAATATAGAACAAAATTCTCTGTTAGGCTGCGTGGCTGCGTGTGTGAAATGATTCTTGATTCTTATTGTTGGAGAGGGATCATCGGATGGGGGCGTGGGATGAATAATATAGGTGGATTATTTCGCTGCTCGGTTGGACTTACATGATTAATTTCACAGTTCCAAAATTAGGTCATTATTACATTACCTAATGGTTCAAGGCTGAGACTGAATTTGTAGGTAGATAGTGGCTAGATTTTCAAGGTAAGTTGGACTGGCCGAGTGTGGAGCATTAATTAAATGAATACAAATAGTGATACTGCGAGACATGTGGAAAATTTTGTTTCAGTAGTCTACTGTTTGACTATGTTGCTATTGTTTGCATTTCCTCCTTAAATTCAGTAGGCGGAACTATGGTCAAGCGTACCCATTTTGGGAACGTATTTTCGTTCCCATGTTTGGGAACGATAAACCCAAATATGGGAACGCCATGTAGGCATTATTTAAAACAAGAAAAAGAACTGTTAAATGACGTCCAAAAAAATATAAAACGATCGTGAACCGCCTGATAGTTGTCTCAATATTGTTGGGAAAGAGTTTGATATTGTAAGGCCCATCGTAGTTTCAAATCGTTCCCCTATTTCTAAAGCAGTCCATCACCCGGGCCGCGAGCCCAAATTTGGGAACGCTCTCGTACACTGGCGCTGCAAGCGTTCCTTATTATGGGAACGGCGTACCCAAAATTGGGAACGATTTCACCGACGCCTTTCAGGGGCTCTTTTCATTAACAAGCATCACGTCCAACGCCGCAAATTATTGTTAACGCAACAATCATCAGATGACCTTTCCGGCAAGACCGTTGCATGTTTCGCCCGGTCTTCTGCGCTTTTATTCCCGTCGATCGCTTTTATTCCCGTCGATCTCGCAGCGGGCACGCCCCCCTCTGCAGGATTACGTAATCCACAACGCTCAGCGATGTTCAACAAGGTCTTCCATACCTATATCCACCGTCCGCGCCGAGGGTGGAGACATGTCAAGCACCTGTCTGCTAATCACCGAGAGTTGACGAGCACAAGAAGTATCCAAAAATGGGAACGCTGAATATGTTACACCCTCAAAACACCTAGTCCCAATGAAAATCTAGTTTTTTCCTTTCTTAATGAGTGTAAGTGGCAAAAGGCCTGGTAGGATGGGCACGAGGAATGATCGAAATCAGCATAAAAATTATAAATAAGCCACACAGAGCGACCTATATCAGAGAAATTCCCCCCAAACGATCATGCTTAGAAACGCCGAAGACAAAAACCACGCTCATGACGCTGCTTATAAAACAACGCTAAACAGCTAGCATCCAAATCAAATATGTCTTTCAGGGCTGATAAAATACAGCTGAATGATTTTAAACCACTGAAACTGAATTTACAACAGTAGTTCGGTAAAATCACTGACGTTCCACGCGGTCGATCGCCCCGACACCAAAAGTCAACAATATTACCTCGGGACTGTCCGCGTGTTCGCTTGCATATGTCAGCATCTGGTGTCGCTAGAATGAAACTTCATAACCAGGCGAAAATTATTATACTTGACCTCAAAATGTAAAAAATGCTTCATTTTCCTTAAAATTGCATGTTAAATGTCGTATAACCCATATTTCCACCATTCTGTCATATTTAAAAAATCATTAAAAATATCATTCCACGGTCAATTTCCTTGTTCCACGGTCAGATTAAAGATAACTTTATGGAGATTTAGTAGATACTTAAATCAGCGTGCACTTTTTTGAGACGTGATGCACTTTTGAGTTTTAGTGGGCGAACGGCCGAAAAATTGCCTTCCGTTCTCATAAATGGGAACGCCCGTTCCCATATTTGGGAACTCCGTTCCCAAAAATGGGAACGTTCCTATATTTGGGTACTCATGACCATAGTTCCGCCTACTGAATTCTTAAAATTATGCTAATTGATTTTAAAAGTATAATCCATTTCGTGCTAATCTTAGAAGGTCCATTATGTTCCTTCCTTTTAGGTTCTTATTTTGAAAATTCCTGCAGTTCTTATACATGTTTTCTTACATGGGTGTTACAGCTTATATAGGCATTCTCTTCCTTGTTCAATATTTTGTTTCCTGAAATATCAGAGTGCATGTAATCACATAAACAAATATCCCCTCTGGCCTCTCCTGCCTGGCTGCACAGCATTAGAACCCAGGGCCAAGACCTCATGACCTCTGACCCTACAGCCTACATGGTCAGAAGAGTCAACTGGTGCCTAAGGACGCACTGCACGCCAGCCACCCAGATAGCCTCTGCAAAGTGTCTCGCTCATCATATACTATGGGCTTGATTCATTCCTGATTCTGTGTTTCTGATCACTCTTGTTAGATGGTCCACTTTCAGTGATGCGATAGGTGTTTCCAGGAAATTTGTGGCCAGAATATCCCAAACAGCAGTAAATGAGGTTTTTGTTTAATATCTTAGAAAGCATTTGGCATTCAATGATGAAATTCCACAGTCTTTTGGTAAATTTTCATGGTACACATACTTTTAGAAGTTTGGTTTTGTACTTATGCCTTTGAACTTGATATAGGGCCAGATAAAACTGAAAAAGAAAAAGAGATAAGTGCTTTTCTGGAGAGCTGTACATGTCCAGACAACAGAAAGTGGTTTTACATGTTTATTGAGTGGCATAGGGCCTGGATGCCCTCTAAACATAGGTAGCTCATTGCATTTTACCTAGGACCCACCAACCACCTTCATAGGATCAGTGCAGCTGTATGATATTGAGTCTTGGGTTTCAACATTTTCCAGGTAGATGGCTATGTGGTTCTTTTCCATCTGTGTATGTGGTTCTTTTCCATCTGTGTCTGGTGCTGCCCTGTTTTATCAATTGATGATCTGTTTAAGAACATTGTTCAGACAGTAGGCATTCCCCAGGCCCCAACCTCACTGGTGCTGAGCCATCCACCCAGCCGCAAATTGTCCTCAGGTCACATGAACCATCATAAGTCACTGTAATTACAGATAAACTTAGTGTCTAGTGATGTTTTCTCATCATTCTGCAAGTGGCAGCCAAGGGTCAGCTTTTCAAAAAGTACAAATATGCTAAATATTCAAAAGCAAATCTTTATGTGTTGCTCTTTCCTGAAAATTGCTTCATTTACATAAGCTACATAAGCTGAGAAAAAGTTCAGAAATTTTACAGCTAATTATTGATCCAATGAAAAAATAAATCCAACACAAGTTCACAAGTTTTTGTGAGCTTGCTAAGTCACTGAATATGGCGTCAGGTGTGTGTAATGTATGTTCCCTCGCCACATTTCTCAGTTCTGACACCTTTGTTCCTCTGTCACCACAGGGTCCCAGCATGGACCCGACAACAATGGTGAAGAAGCTGCTGCTGTCGCCGGAGCGGATCGTCTGCTGCCTGGAGGCGCGGCTGGCCGGCCCGCCCGGTCTGGGGCCGGGCGCGCGCCGCATCCTGGCGCTCGTGCAGCACGCCGACGGCCGGCAGCGCGCGCTCTTCGTGCTGGCCCACTCAGTGGCTGGAGGCACGGAGGTGGATATCGAGACCGTGCTGCCCGTCACCAACGACTTCATCTGTGGCATCGGTACGGACCGCGCGCCCCGGCTCCGCCCACTCCGGTCGCTGGACCGTCACTTCTGATGTGTGATCTTGCCAGTTTACCAACATGCCAGATGCTGAGCTTATGGTCGATGGCCCCCGATAAGCCAGCTGACAACAGAGTTTTGGGCCATCAAAGCTTTCCAAAGCCAAGCTTTCATAGCAGTAGAGAGGACAGACGCCCATATTGTGACGCCTGACGGATATAGTTAGATTGGATTCAGCATCTCCTGGTTGGATCCTGGGGCACACCTGCTTTGGTATTGATTGGAATCGATTTCATTTATTTGTCTACGCATGTCTACGCTAAGATGTAGCATTATCGATACTGAACTATTGACATGCTAGAAGTATCAAATATAAAAAAACTGTTGCTCTGCAGAAACCTGGCGTTATTCTTATCTTTAACCCGCCTCCTGACTTGCCAGTTGCCAGAAATGCATTGTTGCATTAGGAATGCGCCAACGCCGCTCCTCCATTATTCATAGAATCACCACCACATCTAGCCAAAGTAATTACGGAAATGCACAGTCCACCCTCGTCATTCGAGCACGTTTCCCAGGCTCGTCGTGGGCGCGTAATGGCTGTAGCTAATTAACGAGGAGGCGTGTCAGCGAGAGGGGAGGACCGTGACTTCATGGCGTGGTTTGTGAGGTCATGTATGGACCGCAGTCCGGTTCCGAACAGAACACATGCCAAACACCTTTGCCGATATTCCTTACGCTATGTTTCAGAACCTACTTCGGGTCTCCCATCGGCCGTATCTGTGGACCTTGAAACGATTACACCGCTTGGTCTGCCGTCGGCATGACCCAGCTGTGCCTCAATCCCTTCCCCTCCCCTTTCCTGCGCTCTACTTCATTTATCTACACATTTGCCTCCATATCGCCCCTTCCCTCTTCCTCCGTCCTCATTCCCATCTGAAACCTTACAGCCAGTTCTGACACGACGGAGTCGGAGGGGATTAATGCGGGCAGACTGTGTGGCGACCGGTCCGTTAATGTTTTCATCACGCCAGAACGGGGCGGGGCCGCCGACCTTCCGCCCACGAGTGTCAACAGCTGCCCTGTCCCAGCAGTGTTCGCGGCAGTGCCAATCAATCACTGTGGGTGCTTACTTATGGCAATTTTGGCCCTATAGACATACCACGGTACACGCACACGAGTCTGCGTGGGAGCGGTATGTATCAGGCTATCACGCTGTACTATATGTCACGCAACCTTTTTTTTTGCTGGTTAAGAATGAATCAGTTCCCCCTTATTTTGCTTGTCTGTCATTCCTTCATGTCGGTATTCATTATGGTAAATTAGACATTTCTGGGCACTACTGCCTTACATGGACTCATTAATCAACAGCTTCCATCAATCGTTCTGCGTATCTCTCACGGCGTCTCGTGTTCTTTCCAGACACAAACGGCCTGGACGAGTCTGACTCGCACCTATACGTCCGTCTCAAGTCTCCCGGCGGCGAGCCTGTGACGTTCGCCTTCCCGCAGGGAGACATCACAAACTCGTTCGTCGAACAGATCATGATGTCCATCGAAGGTGAGTGCTTTCCCGATATTTTTTTCGATTCATGTACTGTGCCATCTCAAGGAAAATGGCTATCATTTGGTTCTCCGCGAAATTTCGTCATAGCATTTACAGGGTGTCTCACAAAAAGTGTACACATTTAAAATGAAGATATTTCAGCATATAAGCACGCGCTCACGTCAAATTCAGGCTTAAATTGAAGCTTAGCTCGTGCAAATTCATTTGACATACAATTTGTTAGTGAGAGTCATGAGACAGTTAAGTGAAGAGGAAAGGAAAATAATCGTGAAATTTTACCTTCAAACCGGTTCCCTGGTATTGACTCAGAGGAAATTTAGGGCTCATTTCCCTACAATAAGAGAGAAACCGCCGGCCAACACAATAAAACGGCTTACTGAACATTTCTTGGTTCACGGAACAGTCGGAAATCAAAACACTGGAAACAGCGGCCGCAAGATAACTGCCCGAACACCTTTGAAAATCGGACAAGTCATTCGGCGAGTTGAGGAAAAGCCTGGAGTGTCCGTGCGGCACCTTGCGCAACAAGTTGGACTCAGCCGCTGTTCCACGCATCGGATTCTTAGGAAGGACCTGAAGCTTAAGGCATACAGGTTATCAACATCTCAAGAGCTTTCCAAGTCTGATTGCCTACAACGGTTGGAGTTTTGCCGTTGGTTTTTAGGGAAGTGCTCGTCTTGCCCCAGTTTCATCGGCAACATTTGGTGGTCCGACGAGGCACACTTTTACCTTCACGGCTTACCTAATCGTCAAAACCACAGACACTGGGGCAAACACCCGCCAGAGAAGACTTTGGAAGTCCCATTACATTCTCCAAAAGTGACGGTCTGGTGCGCGCTTAGCGCCCAGGGCATAATCGGACCGATCTTCTTTGAAGACGGTGACGGAGAACCAGTGACGGTGACTTCAGACCGTTATCTGGCAGTGTTGAAGCGCTTTTGGCGGTCTCTCAACAGCAAGTGCGCGGACACCATTTGCCTGCAATGGTTCCAGCAGGACGGCGCTCCAGCGCACACGTCAAGAGCCACGCTGGCCTGGCTGACCGAGCGCCTGGGAAGCCGGCTGATCTCCAGGCGGGCCCCCCACAGCTGGCCACCCCACTCACCCGACCTCACCCCCATGGATTTCTATCTATGGGGGTATCTGAAGGATGTCGTGTACGTGAAGGCGCCGCACACGCTAGACGAGCTCAAAAAGGCCATCAGAGGAGCCATACGCGGGATAACCATGGAGACATGCGCCCGTGTAGCTCAGGAGACCATGAGGCGCGCCACCACGTGCGCTGAGCGCAAAGGCTGTCATTTTGAGCATCTAAAAAAATGAGCGCATAGCTAGAGTATGGGAAACTGATTTGGTATGTGAATATAAAGACGTGCAAATGATATGCGAATAAATTTGCAAGCTTTGTGCTTTCCAGCGATATTTGTGTTTTTTACGTATGTTTTTAACTTACGGAGCTATTCACAAAACAAATATGTACACTTTTTGTGAGACACCCTGTATGCGTGCCGGGGGCTTTCGATTGTGACTTTGTGCGATGCTAATGGAGTTTCTCTTCTGGATTGGTCTCTTAGTGAGTCCCATCGTCCACCTCATCGGGCGCCGCCCATCTTCACCCGCTCTCCACTCTCCGCTACGGCCCACCGTCCACCGCCTAAAGCCCACCGTCCACCGCTCACCGCCCGCCCCACCCGAGGTCGATACGCCGGTCAGGTGCCCAACACGGACCGGTAGCGCGGGCACCGACTCCCACGGGACCCCGGTTCCCCGCTCATGAAAATTTGTGTCCCGCTCCCTGGCACTGACGAATGAGGAGGCTGACACGGGCGTGGCACAGCACGAATGTACGGACAAATCGATTGGGATATGGGGCATTACTACGGATACGAATATCGATACGAATATGGACGTTGATGTGTGTACGGCCAGCGGTACATGATTGCACGGATGGCATGGCCTATATAAACCTACGTAAACATATTGTATGTACTGCAAAATGGAGAGGTGAATCAGAGTATAATGGATGTTGGTAATCAATTTGTTTCATGACATTCGATCAAGAAGTGCTCGCTTTGTCCGTTGTCCGATGATGTTGCTGAACACATCTACGGCATCTGTGTGTTTCCGTATCATAAATTTATCTCCACGACTCGATGGCCTGTTCCGTGGAAGCACGATATCCAATTCATTGACGGGCTATCGCTGCTATTCCTGCCGCCTCTGGGCTCGCTGGCAGATTGCTAACGATGTCGTAAATCCTTCAATCGGTCGATGGCGGTGCCGTCGCCGCTCCGGCGCCCGCCGACCAGGTGTGGAGCTGGGCGGCGGACGGACGGCGATTGAGAGGGCAGATGGAGAGAGAGGGAGGAGATAGGGAGTGTGCCGGGGGAGGAGGGGCTGTTCAGAGACACAGCATCTTTAGAAGGGAGGGGGAGGGGTCCATTCGGATAAGGTGGGGCTAGAGGTGGGATCATTATTTAGCATTTTAAGATTTTAGGAAGCTGTGAATAGCTGGTCCGCTGTCTGAGAAATATCGTGAATTTCTTCATCGTAGATAGTTAGGCGCAGCGTATTTCCGAATATTTTTCTGGTAGAAGCCGGGACTCGTTGGCTTACCAGCGTGGGAATGAACAATGCGTATTTGACATTGGGATAGCTCTCATCCATATCATCGTTTTTCAGTGGCATTATTTTGCTTCTGTGTTTTCGCTAGGCGCCAGTTCTGAACTCTATAATTAAGCCCTCGAGTCAGCGGCAATCAGCGAGCAGTCATCAGAGCGAGTGTTGACACTCAGCCGTCCTATCGACCCATATGCTGAAGTGTCTATCCACCTGAGCGCAGCCTCTGGAATGAGGTAGCGACAATCTCTGGTGGCGGAATAGAGCCCGGCACGACCAGCGAGAGGTGTAAACCATTTTCGGGGACAGACGGAGAACAGACATATGTGTGATGCAACACTTCCGACGATAGCGTGCTGCAGCTGTGCATAATTTGCAGCTGTGGGTCCGATATGTAAAGCTTTTTGCCTTTTCGGTAGTGTTTCGCACTCGGATTGCAACCACTTGTTGGGCATTCAGCACACCAGTTGCAACAACGCTTCATTAAACAGGACACGCGTTTGCGACTATTGGAAATCGTCAATGACTTCTGGTCAAAAAGTGTTGAAATATAGGTACCGTAAAATGGGGTGTTAAGGGACAGTTTTGAGGTGTTTTGTTATATAACTCAAGAAGGGTTGGGGATAGAAGCATCAACTTGTCAGCATTTTATGTGGAATTTGGTGCTTTACATGCTTGATACATTACAGTTTTGAAAATATATACATGCATATTATTTTTTATTATTTTTCATCACTGTCCCTTAGCACCCCAATGTGGGGTGTTAAGGGACACCTATATTATTCCAAGAAATGTTCATCAAATGCCCACAATTGGGGTGTGAAAGGGCACACAATTTATTTATTGAAATGTTTTGCATATTCTGTCACAAAACGAGTCAGGTTCATTCACCACTAATGGCCTTTTTAGCCAATTACATGTAATGCAGTTTATGCTTCTGGAAAATGTGCTTATTATAAGGTAAACAGAACTAAAAAGTACCCTTCTGTCATCAACAAAAACTCATTTTGAAGCTATTCACTTGTCATTATGTTGTCCTCTTTATTTTGGCCTTTTTATGATGACATCACGTTAACCTACATCAGACCTCATTGACCCATCATTGTAAAAGAGAGTGTTAAGGGAGTTTTGAGGTGTTTTGTTATATAACTAAAGATGTGTTAGAGATGAAAGCATGAACTTGCCAGCATTTTGTGTGGAATTTGGTGTTTTCCATGCCTACTGAAAGAAAACTTTATGAAATTTTATTTAGATATTATTTTTTATGTTTTCTTCCCTGTTCCTTAGCACCCCACATCCACCTCAAAATATGCATGTGTCCGGAAAGGAGGAAGAGGATGATGAATGAATGGGTGGATTTGTATAAGTTTTTCAAGAAGCATGTGCGATACATGTGACAATACACCTATGCATTCATTTTACCTGTACACCTACCAGTTTATGTTAGACACACAGAGTTTTGGAGATGTCTCAATTTTGTGAAAATGTAGCATGATTTTCAAAACCATTTTTGAACCAAATCACTTGCATGAAAAACCATGTCATTTTGTCCTATAGTCAAGAACAAAACAGTGTCAACTACCACACTCAAGTTTTTATTTAACCTTCTCAAATTAGGAACTTAACATGACTCAAAGTTTTTCCCACGCAACTGTCCCTTATCACCCCACTGTCCCTTAACACCCCATTTTACGGTACTCAGCTATTTTGCCTTTACCTGGGCATTTGGGTTATCCGAGCCGTGTTCACGTAGCATGATGACGTTATTCGTATGAGGTTTTTCATGGGCGCATTATAGTGTTCACGCCGTTGACGCACTTTTAAAACAAGACAAACTGTTGAAGATTATTTTTGTCTTTCCTAGGTAATTCAGAACCAACATCGGTTTGTGTCAGCCCATTGCTGGTTGAATTTCGTGGAATTTTCTAGAGTTCGTGTCGTGCTTGAATAACACTTACCATGGCTAATTCCAGCCCACATTTTATATCGCCGGCTCCTTGCGTACAAAGGCTGCACATTATCCGAATGCGTAGCTAGCTGACCCGTGGGTGGGCAGTTTCCTCTATACAATGCGTGACGACTAACCATCGGTGTGATAAACTTTCCTGAATGGAACCCTCCGCTCGCTTAATAATGACCGGCAGGCTTGACATAGTGCTCAGGTCTTGGCTTTGGTGCCATTTTCTGATTTATGAATCGGACGGTAGCGGTGCTCGCCTGGGCGGGTTACTTCGAGTCGCGATTTATGGTTTTGTCAACGCTGACACGCATTGGAGTAGAGCGGTACTGTTATGACGCCATGTTGACGGTATTGCGTCAGCATTTGCCATGTGTAACTCTGTCCATAGAACACAATGCATTCGTTCATTGCCACTTCACAGAATGACCTTTGTATGATGTGGCGAGCGATCTGGGATCAGGAATTGTGTTTCCTGTGCGGAGGCTCAGGCGGCGGGGACTGGGTCTGTCTCGAAGTTTAAGGATGTGAGACATCACATGGTTGAGGGAGTTTGACCAGTGGCGACTTTAAAGGGGTTTAGGCTCAGACTGGGGAAAGGGGGAGGGGACTGAAGCCAGACGCGGTATCATAAGCGGTTTGCGTCACTTGGAACGGGAAGTGCTGATTCCGCTTCTATTTTCGGAACTCTGCTATCGGTCTAACCGGTTGTTTGTGATGGGAATGCCGGCAGCAGCGTAGTAACCCCACCAGTGAGATCATTGCGCACGCCCTATGTATTGGATATGCTCTGTTTCATTATGTGTGCTTTTGACACCCTTTGTTATTCCCATAATTTTTAGGCTTAGCCGTTCCGATTAATATCTTACTAATTTTGAGTATGTACAGTGTACACGAATGTCTCAATTTCTACGCTGTCGATGTTTTTAGCAGTGCACAACCTGATGGAACAAAACCCGTACCTACTGGCCTCACATATATGTATGTGCGCTTTAACCCGCGCCCCACTGGGGGGGGGGGCTATTTATAGCCCCCCCCCCTCCCGTTTTTCTGCAATAACTTTCAAACCGCTTGACGTATCGACGCCAAACTTTCAGTACCTTAGGCTGCATCAATTTGACACCTTGTGTCAAAATTTGAACTTCGTACCTACTATAGGTCGGCCGGAAATGACGTCAGAGTGACGTCATGTTCGGCCGATTTCGACGCAAAACATTGAACCACGGCAATCGCTCCCAAGAGCTCAGTTTTTAAGCTAGATCCAATTTCGTTGCATGAGAGGACTCAGAATAGACTGCGCTATCAAACTGCTATCTCTGATTTTCGAAATTTTGAAAATTTTGAATATTTTATATAATAATAACCAAAATTTATATTTTTGCGTTTTTTTTCAAACAGTTTTTGACTTTTCGAAAAAACCGGAATATATGTGATAGAACGCATTATTATGACTATCTCTAGCAAGTTTTAGCTAAATATCTTCAAAAATGGCCAAGTTTTACGCATTATTGCAAAAAATTCACAATTATTAATTTTTCAAATCAATTTTCCAGCACGTATTTGACATCGTACGCCAATATAAATAGCACTATCGTGTTCCTGAGCTCAAACTGCATCCAATAGACACCTTTTTTGTTGAAAAATTTTAACTTCAAAATTTGACCTTTTTTGACCTGAAAGTGACCTAACATAAGCTAAATTCGACTCAAAATGACCTCGAATGACATAGACGACATCAAATTCGAAATCTCTGACCTAAATGGACCATAAAACATGTGTCACGTGACCGACGCATGATATAATATTTTCGTGACCTGTGATGACCTGACCTTGACCTGAAAATCAAAGTACAAGTTTGGTACCCTCAGGGTAACTAGAGCATCTGTTCCCGAGTGTGTGATCCAAAAATGAGCCTGATCTGACTTGTAAGACGGCGGCCAGAGCCCAAAACGTGAACAAGCCAAAGTGCTAATAATTTTTACTTTGACCTGACCTGTGACGTCATCGGTGACCTCGAGGTCAATGAAATTAGGTTTCGCTCGACAGTTTTTCCGGGGCTATCAGACGCCGTTTGAATTTTGACGATCGGCCCAGTAGTTTCGGAGTTAGGGGGGGGGGCTATGAATAGCCCCCCCCCCCCCAGTAGGGCGTGTTATACGCAGACCCCAGTGGGGCGCGGGTTAAGACCGTTTACCGATAACCATTAGCTCTATCCGATGGCACATGACCTAACGGTCTGTGTGTAGTGGCGCAGTGGAGGACGGTGACCACCAGTTCGGCTGGGTGACCTGACCTGTGACCTGAGACCCAACCTGACCTCTTTGTATATTCACCAGCGGCTGCCTGCGGTGACCACCAGTTCGGCTGGGTGACCTGACCTGTGACCTGACCGGTAACCTGTGACCTGACCTGGCTCCCTTATTTTCATCAGCGTTGGAGGGCGGTGACCACCAATTCGGCTGGTTGACCTGTCCGGTGACCTGTGACTGTGACCCGACCTGACCCTTCTGTATGTTCCAGCGGCGTTGGGCGGTGACCACCAGTTCAGCTGTGTGACCTGACCTGTAACCTAGCCTCTCTGTACCTATGTTCCAGCGGCGTTGGGCGGTGACCACCAGTTCAGCTGGGTGCAGCAGTACCGGGAGAGGGCGTCCCGGGCCTCGGACAAGGAGCCGTCCCAGCCGAACCAGCAGACCAGAGCACACTCGTCTCATGCACAGGTCAGATCACGGGCTGCGCGCTGGAGTCTGGACGGCAGATCACTGGCGAATGATGGACAAGTTGACCAACGACGGTGAATTTTCTGTTTTGTAGCAATAGTTTCCTTTTTACATGGGACAATTTGTCGGTACAGATATTTCCTCTCCTGTACGACAAATGTCCTTGTTTGCAACCGTAAATGCTTCACCTCTGCGATTTTTGATGTTCCATTTCTTTTCAACGGGATCAGTGGATTAAAGTCTTTCGCGCCGTATCATCTTGGTCCACTCACGTGTGAATGTCGAATGACCACATCCACCCTCTCTTCGTGCTCCAGTCTTCAGAGCTGGATGCTGGTCCGCGGCGGGCCTTCTCGGCGGGCGCCCCGGCCACCACGCGCGAGACCCAGGTCAAGTTTGAGATGAGTCGGAAGGAGGAGGCCTACACAGACATACACCAGTTGAGGTGAGATGAGCGGACAGCGGCAAACGAGGGATATCGATTAGCTGTGTGGATGAACGGCCAGATGAGTAGGACGTGGAAGATGAGACCTTCAATGTGTACGTCGTGTGGCGTCAAAAAATTTCACAGCTGGATAGGTAAATAAGCGTCTGTCAAGTGAAACTGAAACATACATTTTATTTCCTAATTATGGCTGTTCGATAATCAAGTTAGTCTCATGAAGCATGAACATGAACATTAAAAGCATGAACGGCGTCTCATCCGCTAGATAGCGTCTGGCTATGGTTTATGATAGGTCGGATAAAGGACGTGACATGTGGTATAGTTGAAGCCTAAATGGCCTATATGACCCGGCTGTAAAAGAAATGATAGTGCTAAAATGTAATGTTCATTCACATTGCATGGCAACCTTCCCTGTATCGTATCGTCCTACCCGGTACTACCCGTGTTTATCGTCTCGGTATGCTGCATACCAAGTCATGGTACGGCAGCCTGATTGATTGACTGCACGTGCCACGAGCGGCTCGCTCTTTCCTCCACAGCTGTAGCTGTGCCGTTCCCCACCTCATATATGTACATGATTGTGTCCATACAGTGCTTGCTGTCTTGTCAGTATGTCACAACTTTTCCCACCACTTGCACTTATCTCTCAATTATTTGCGTGATTTTGCTTATCCTAACCCAACCTACATTTACATTTCCCATCTGAGTTGATCGTTCGGCACTTGATCGTTCGGCTTATGTAACATGACCTGTGACCACAACCGCGTATATCTAACCTGATCGATGATCTTGCAAGTTGGTCTGACCTCTGACCCAGCCGTATGTATCTGACCTGACCCGTCACCCCGCCAGAGTGCTGTGCGCCACGTGGAACGTGAACGGCCAGTCGCCTTCACCGGACGAGCCCGTGTCCGACTGGCTGGCTTCGACCGCCGAGCCGCCGGACATTTACGCCATCGGCTTCCAGGAGCTGGACCTCAGCAAGGAGGCCTTCCTGTTCACCGAGTCGCCCAAGGAGGACGAGTGGCTGTGAGTAGAGACGATGGTGGCGGATTGGGATTAGGGTCTGCCTCGATCGCTTTCTTAGGATGGGCGGCTGCCTATGGAACGAGGCTGATCAGTCTCGTTTCACAGGTTGACGCTCGACAATATGGGTAGAATTGGATCTGCTGGCCTTGGAGATATTGTGGGAGCACGTGACATGCGGGACTGGGATATTTTCAAGAACATTCCAAATTGTAATGAGATGCTGTCTCGTCCTGTGGTAATCACCTCTGTGAACTATCGAGAGCGGATGTCCTTTGTGGAGGACACTGATATTCACACACGGTGTCTTTGACCTGTGTTGAAAAGTGTGACCTGTTTGGATTGGAACAGCTTAGAACTTGGAAACGAGTTCTCCTGTGATGTTTGTTTGGTTACCGTGTGTAGCCTGTGACGTCTGTGTGGCGTGATGAGTCCTGGGCCGATTCAGGTGAAATATGAACCATTCTGCAGTTGCGCCTTGTAATTCCAGTAAGCACTGAGCTGTATGCACGGCAATGACATGTGTCTTTTGACGATAGTTTCACGGGGAGGATTAATGTGCGATACGCTACGGTGACAAGACATGCTAACGTTGAAATTTGCCACGCATCAAAGGCAGTTTGAACGGGGTGGAAGTCGATGCAAGGCTCTTGAAGTATGCTTGTTCATATTGTTAGTGATAAATGGCTTCCTCCGTCGCATATAGAATAGCCAAAGGCACGTGTCTTGTATTGCCCGGACTAGGTTTTGCGTGCATGCATACCAACACTCAGCTATTGCAAGCGCCATATGCCGTCTCACCATGCTGTGACTTGTGCGGATCAGTTTAACTTCTTCCTCTATCCATTGTATTCTGCGTTTCGCTATATAATAATCTCGACTATGGCCATCTCGAAACGCGCATTAGAAAACCTCTGTACTCTCTGCCGACACCCACCCTCACGCTCTCGCCCTCTCTCATCTGCCCTACAGGACGATGGTGCTGACCAACCTCCACCCACGCGCCTCCTACCGGCGTGTGCGGCTCGTCCGGCTGGTCGGTATGATGCTGATCGTCCTCGTGCAGGAGCGGCACGCCGCCTACGTGAGAAATGTGGCTGCCGAGTGCGTCGGGACAGGCATCATGGGAAAGATGGTGAGTAAGGGGTACACGCTCGGGGTTGGTTTTCTTTGTTGGTAGGGTTAGACCCTGTGGGTCTAGCGAGATCTTTGTAGAGCGGGGAGGACGGTGGGAATTAGGGGGAGTCCCTGGTCTGGGCGGCCACCCTGGGGCCTGGCGCGCCGCCGGGGTCGGGGGTTGAGCCCATCAAATGTAAAGGCTACCCAGCTGCTCGGCTGTGACTGACCCGTAACCCCGTTCAGGGTATTCTGTAACGTGCTAGACGGGATTAGCGGGTGAATGTCGCGCTCAGGGTTGCTGCAATTGGTGGGGTTTCGTGTGGACGGCTGGTGTTGGTCCGATGTTAGCCGTGTAGTTTATATGTAAGCTACCGTTTTGCCGTCCCTGACCCGGTTCGAAGTGCGCGTTTGGAGCGCGGTGTCTGACGCATAGCTCTGTCAGTGGTTGCGGGACACGGCACGTTTAAACTGTGTGGACACGGGCGCTAGGCAACCGCGCCGCCCGCGCTGGGGACATGAACCTTAATTGCTCCCGCTCTGCATTTTTCTGATCGCGTGCCGCCGGTGGCGCTGTAAAATCCTTAATTGTCCGCCCCATCGCCTCCACATGTCATTTCAATGTATGATCGGCATAACACGATCGCCTCTATGGCTCCTGAAATCGCCATTTAAATTCAAGTGTATGTGAATGGCGAGCGCGTATTATTATTTCTTAGCATTTATCGTCGCAGAACGACGTAAATATTCCAGTGAACGATCACACATTCCGGCGTGGTTCGTCACCCGTCGGCCTTCTGAAGTACTTTGTCCTGGGCCATCACAATGCAGCTGATGCATCCTCATAGTTACAAAATAACAACAACAACAATAACAACAACACGCATCCAGGCTGATACGTAACATGCGTTTTGTTTTGTCCGTTATCGACCTACATAAGTGTGGCATTAAACATCATTGGCCGCGTATGTGTATGCTGTGAAGTGATGTTTTCTCACTTTTCCTGGGTACTTGAGTTTGACCTTCACGTAGAAGATGCAGTGTGCCCACTTTTCTTGATCTTATTAGTGTGGTCTTGCGTCTCAAGGCTGAATTTAACCCTTTTTGAGCGTATTCTTGCACATCTCATGAGTGGAGTAGTTCGACATCTCATAACTCTCGACAGTGAAATAATGTTGATTCTGACCAAGATTTTCACGTTATACCACTGCAAAGTGTAATCTGACCCGTCCCGCTGTCTCCCCTCTCAGGGCAACAAGGGCGGCGTGGCCGTGCGGCTGGAGGTGCATTCGACGTCCATGTGTTTCGTAAGTGCCCACCTGGCCGCCCATGTGGAGGAGTACGAACGCCGGAACCAGGACTACGCCGACATATGTCACAGAATGCGCTTCAACGCGCTCGTCTCGCCAAAGGCCATCAAGGACCACGAGTAAGGCGACCGGGCGGAGCGGAATGATGGTCTTGGCGTGGAGTTTTACATCGGTGGAGGACCTGGGTATTGTTTTTCGCTGATTACCGTGGTTGGATTTATGGCTAGCCGTGTTCTTTGGTGTTTTGTAGCATCGTTCTTTGGTTATTTCATTGGACTGCATCTCTGTCTCTCCCTGTTTCTGTGGTGTGATTTTAAGCCACTGCGCCTTCTCCCTCCCTCAGTCAGGTGTTTTGGCTTGGAGACCTCAACTACCGAATCACTGACGTGGACGTCGACAAGGTCAAAGAGATGATCGAACGGGGAGCCATGGAAAAGGTCAGACTCGGACGCTTTCGAATGTGTTACCTGACAGCCTGGTGTAAGCCTGTATTTGTTCTATTTACAGCATGTGTATTGATGTGACGTTGATGCCAAACTTTAAATTCCACACACATTATTATGGAAGGATGCACGTTGTGCCATCCTTCCACCCTCATTACAGTCCCATTTCCTACTTCAATTGCAAGGATAATCGACCCATTAAGCGTCTAATGTCGAGTCTCATTGCCAAGTCTGACGTCATTTCTGTGTTTGCGATATGTCTATGACAGTTTCGGCTAAAAGTTCAACAGTAGTATTAGTAAACAGTGTATGCTGTCAAAACTCCATTTATCATCTGCCTCGAGATAATTGTTTTGTCAAATGGTGTATAAAATATTGCCGCCTGGCCTGGGCATAATTGTGCACCTTAACCGCACCGTGCTATCTTTATCTCGGAATCGTTGGCGTCTTCACGTTACTGTCTGTACCGGAATCAGCTTACAGCTAACACAGCGGTACTCACCCTAACGTCGTGTCGGTCGGCAGGTGATGGAAGCGGACCAGCTGCGGCTCCAGATGGCAGCCAGGCGGGTGTTTGACGGCTACCACGAGGGCACGGTAACCTTCCGGCCCACGTACAAGTACGACCCCGGAACGGACCTCTGGGACTCCAGGTACGACGCCAGACTGCGAGTGGTGTACTGTACGGTACGACTGGCGTACAGTATGTTACGACAGTGGCACGAGCCTGACATGGAGGATTTGACGGCGTCGTATACCGGGGTGGCCATTTCCCAGGCAATCACGTTGATCGAACAAAAGCCCGTCACGGTTGGAGAGTTGATTCCGTTGTGTGAGGTTTATTGCCGGGCTGTGGTGCGCATTCGAGGGAATACCGGGTACTGGACTGGGGCTCCACGGTGCTACGGCTTATTGCTGATGGGAGGCTCGACCTTTGAACCAGGCTCACAAGTAGTAAAGGTTTGGGTGGTCGACCGTTAAATTCAGCGTGTCGTGCTCTGATTTAATAGCAGCTCGTGCATAATATTATGCGTGTGTTGTATGCGGTCCTGGACGACCCAACAGCTGACGATCAACTGCGCGACAGGGGAGGCATTGTGTTTCTGTCTGTCCCGTATACTCTCGTACTATCTCCTTCTTCCCTTTACTGTCGTCCCTCTCCCTTTTCCGACTCTTTTTTTCTCTGATTCTCTCTTCATTCCCTCTACTCGTTTCCTCTATTGTCTCCTCCTTCCATCCCCTTCTCGTCACGCTGCCTTTCTGCCCTCTACCACCACTCTCCGCAGCGCTCCGCTCCCTCCCCCATCCCTCCTCATCTGATCACCCCCTCCTCTCTCCCTCCCGTTTCGTCGCCAGTGAAAAGAACCGCGCGCCGGCCTGGTGTGACCGCGTGCTGTGGAAGGGCGAGCGAATACGACAGCTGCACTACACCAGCCACCCGAGTCTGAGGCTCAGCGACCACAAACCCGTCACGGCACTCTTCGAGACAGGGGTGAGTTGATGCGGCGGGCAAGTTGGTGTTTGTCTGAATGGCTTTATGGGGTTACATTGGATAATGAGACCATAGGCTGGTGTGGTGAGGTTTAGTGTGCGCAAGGCAAGGCTGACGGCATTGTTTACCACATGTTGGGATTACTTGCAACATTACCCGCTCGGCCTCTCAGACTTGGGTAAGATCAATTTTTTTGCGAATGAATGGCTGTCATGTATCGTCCTACGCAGTTGTGCGCAATTGTCCACCCCGCCGCTCTTTGCTGCGTCACCCCTCACCCCTCCCGTTTCAACTGGACAAATTGACTGCACCCGACTCACATCCTGCTGGGTTATTGCTAGCGATGCAGTGTCGGTGCGGGCAATGACTCCCACGGACTTACGGTGTGACCTGGCAGAGACTTGAACACCTCTGGTGACCTGACGAAGTGTACCACGACGATTTTATAATTTATTTAACCGCTGGTGATCTGTTGTGGCCGTGTGTGACTGCTAGTGACTTGAAAGTGATGTGATGACCTCTGGTGTGACATGACAGTGACCTGTCACGACCGTATGACATGAACAGCTGAGGGCTTGTCGACCAATGCTGGGGTCTGATTTTGACCCTCCGACCGCTGCGAAAACCTGCTCTTGACACTCTGTCCCCTGATGCATGAGCTTGACCATTCCGACCTTGCCATAGACAGATGTCAACCCTTTGACCCCGATACGACCACACCATGACCCGGTGACCCCTGATGACCTTACCTTGACCTTCACCCTCCTCCCACAGGTGAAGGTGATCGATCCGACCAAGTACCGTAAGATTTACGAGGACATTATGAAGGAGCTGGATAAGTACGAGAACGACTCTCTGCCGCAAGTGTCGGTGGACACGACCGAGCTCATCTTCGGCACGGTGCACTTCTTCGAGACCAAGACGCAGACGCTGACCATCACCAACACTGGAAAGGTGAGGATGGGACAGGGCGGGCTGCAATGTGCTTTTTTGGATAGAAGAGATGACGTGTGCTGATGTTTTGAATGGACGATGTTTAGATGAATATTGATGTTTTCAATGCGGGTTCCATAGGCTACTCGTCTAACGTTGTTGAATAGTTAACTCAGTTCTTATTGTAGTCCACTTATACGATTCACGACTTCATTGTGGAAGCTAGGTACACTTTGTTATGCTGTTGCATTTATCCGCTTCAATACTAGCTGTTGGTGCCCCTACTATATGATAATGCGCAGAGTCCTGATACCGCCCGACTTTGTGTTTCTTCTCTGCTTTGTTCAGGTGGCGGTACAGTATCGGTTCATCAACAAACTGAACGACACCACGTACTGCAAACAGTGGCTGACGGTGGACCCGCACTTCTCAGTCATCATGCCGGGTCAGTACTCACAGCTGGGTAAAACGTCACGTGATCACCCGCCTGGGGTGGCGTGATTGCAGCGCTGGGTCACGTGGTCACCGCACTGGCTATCACTTGCTCACTCAGGAGTCACGTGGTCACGGCGTTAGGAATTTAGGAATCACGTGCTCACCGATCTACTGATCGTGCGACTGGTGATCTGATCACGTGTTTTCGTGGTGTGATGTTCGTCGTCCAGTCGCGAGGGTGCTGTTGTGTTGATTTTCACGTTTCCAATCACGGAGCGTGCTCGCCAGTCACGATAGGTTCGTAGTAAACCAGTTGGCCATTGACACATAAATTAAGCGGTATAAACGGCGGTGCGATGTATGCATGAATGAATCATCATTCGACAGCTGCTTCTACTGATGGGTGTCTTTGGAATTCACGGATATGTTGTTAGTGAATACCGATTTTCTGAGACTCTGGGGGATGAATAGGATCGTTACTATTTTCACCGTGTAATTTGTGGTATCAGGTGAGCGATGTGAGGTCTCCCTGGAGGTACGAGTGGACGACTTCCTTCGCATACTCTTCTCACTGAGTGATCTGTTTGTATCAGGTGAGCGATGTGAGGTCTCCCTGGAGGTCCGAGTGGACGACCGGACGGCGTCCAAGCTGAACACGTGCCAAGAGAAGCTGTATGACATCCTCGTACTGCACCTGGAGAAGGGCAAGGACATCTTCATCACCGTCCAGGGTAAGCCTTCCATCCGCTCCGCTAGGAATCAGCAGTGAAACGCAGCTGATGCTCTCTGAATGAACGGAACTTGGATCCTTTAATGCTGATTTTGCATCGCGATCGTCGCATATCCTGTGTATCCGGAATCAAGATAACTAAACCTTGAAAGAATAGCGTATTACCTTGCTCGACCTCGCTTCGGTGCGTGTCAGTCGTGTGACTGTTAGACGTTCCTCCTCTCCTACCGCCGACTGACGCTTGCCCCTTTCTCTGTCCTCTGTGCAGGTGACTACGTTCGCAGCTGTTTCGGCGTCTCCATCAACGCCCTGGTGCACATCAAAACGCCGTTCGCCGAAGTGCCCGTCTCACGGCTCCTGGACCTGGTTAGTTTGAGCAGCTGACGCCAGGCGGCAGTATTTGCGATGTGACGTCGCCACAAGCGGTGACTGGACAGTGCAAAGGCTGCTCGGCTTGTTTTGAAAAGCTGAAGGGAAAATTTATCAGAAAAGTATGATGAACTTTGGGTGAATGATATTGCTCGTTTCTCATTCATGCATTAACTCAATGCCTAGTGCCTACTCATTGAATTAATGACGTGTTTAGTCACTTTTCACCTTCCTTGATGCGATGTTCGCTCTTTTCATCGGAGGGCCCTTGATCCGACGTTCTCTCTTTTTTTTCATCGGAGGACCCTGCCGGATAGCTGCCACTGCACCATGTGTCCCTACTGGTTCTCACTCCTGATCCTCTGATGTATGTGTTCTCTGTCCCTCAGGAGAGCGCGTCGCCGAAGGAGCTGACGCACAACCCGTACGTCATCCCCAAGGAGTTGTGGTTCCTGGTGGACCAGCTGCAGAAGCAGGGTATCGGCAAGGACCTGTTTGGTCAGAGTGGTCTGCCGGCCGAGATCTGCCGCATCAGGGAGGCGCTGGACACCACGCTGCCCGAGACACTACGTATCCTTACACGCTGGCGGAGGACCGAGGAAGGGCAGAGAAGGGCGCTTGTGGGACTGTTTTGATTGCGCTGGTTTGCTGAAAGGCTGAAACGTAATGATTTTTGTTGGACAGACTGGGAGCACTGAAACCCTTGTCCAGGCTGGTCCAGGACCTCTTACACCGTAGTGGTACTTATAGTTCACTTAACTCAGGCGGAAGAGAGCCCAAAGCTCATAGGCGGAACATACCACCCGGCTCGCTTCCTTACGTAGGTAAGTGTAACATTCCAGAGTGTAACATTCCAGAGTGTTAGTCTTTCTGTGGTCTCTGTCGGCTCCGGCCCATCTCTGTGTGATTTCCTTGACCGCCGCGGTACACAGCTGGCAGCATCCACTCGGTGGCCGAGGCGCTACTGCTGTTCCTTGCCAGTCTGCCGGAGCCGGTCATACCCAACAGCTACGTGGTGCAGTGTATGGAGAGCTCCGACAACTTCATACAGTCCAAACACGTGAGTTGATAACACGCCGAAACACCGTGACGCTCGTAATTTGTGTCCAAGGTTGTGCTTTCTAATTCCATGTGGTCAGCGCTCACTGCTCAGTGGATAAGTGATTTTTGTTAAAATCGAAATGTGTAGTGTATTACGCTTCCGAACCCTGAATACCTCACACGGTCGATGCCAGCAGCTGCAGTACAGCGCACTCGACTGTCGCCCTAAGCATTCTCAATGCTCCCGTCATGAAAGTGTCTGACGTGTTCGGCGCTGCTCCCCAGATCGTGTCGCAGCTGCCGCCGCACCATAAGAACGTGTTCACGTACATCTGCACCTTCCTGCGAGAGGTGGTGGACAAGACGCCGCCTGACCGCGGCGGTCTGGAGCCCACCACACTCGGTACGACCCTGTCCCCTGGAACAGCGATCCACGGGGAGGGGAGGGAGGGGCACTGATGACAGGGCGGGGACGGCTCGGGTGGAAAGTTTGACTCCATGGAACAAACTCCTTGTACTGCCTTGTAATGGTTCACATACCAAGTTAGAATTTACTTGCCAGCTGATCAAGTGATCACCTCGCACTTGCCTTGATTATCCGTAACGTCTTAAATGTCCAACTGTGCTAAACATAATCAAACCTGCGGACGTTATAACTCATCGTCTCTGCCTGCAGCGAAAATATTCGGCGGTGTTCTGATCCGAAACCCGAGCGCTGCGTGGCAGCAGCGGAACAACATGTCGCTGGAGACGCTGGATCGGCGGAAAACCACCTTCGTCTACCACTTCCTAGTCAACGAGATCGACATCTGAGCGCGCTGTCCAACCGGCAGGGCTGTGTCGTCTGCGTGCGAGCGTCAGCGGTGGCAAAAGGCAGGTAGTGGGCCAGACAGGGCGGACCGTGGGCTAGAGTAGCGGGCCGCTGGCTTATCACTCGGTGATCTGACCGATGGTTTTGATCGGAGGTCTCTCTGCCGCCAAGACCGGCGCCATCGCCCGGCCTTCAGACCTGAAAGCTGATGGTTTAGAAAGGAAGGTTATCGGCTGATTACGGTACGGTTCCTGTCCTAGATGAATTGGGTGCCCCTCCCAGGGTAAAACAGATAAGGTATGCACTGTTATGTTTTGTTGATCGGCCAATCTCGGTGAATACTCCGTCTATCCTTGATTTGTTATGTTTTAGTATCTTGAATGATGTTATTATGTGCTACCTCGTTATTGTGTATCGTTAAACACCTATGTTTCTGCTGTCAGGTATGTTAGAAGGGATCTGACTTTCTCCAGATTTGTTATTTTAACCACTTCATTCCAATAATTGAGACGCACTGCACTTCCTAATTGACTGTCTGATTCTAGGTATGAATGGGAGTGTACGCATTGTTTGTTGATGTTCTGCGTGAGAGAATTAACGCGCTGCCGTGGCCGTCAGGGCAGCCTGACTGGCCGTCTGTGGCTATATCTTACATTGATAATTGATATGATCGTGGTGTTTTGTGTATAGTTGCTAACTCTGCCCAATGTGACGGATACAGTCTGGTTGGTATGAATTGCTTTGTTGATGTTGATTGTCAGCAGACCCGACGCACTATTAAACCGTGCCGAATCGTCAAACACCGGTATGCGGTCCCTGTTTCCCCTGCACAGGCTGGTCATGCTCTCTCACTGCACACACTGCACACACAGCACACACACACACACACACAAACGGTGAACGCTTGCTGATCCTTAATCGTGACGATTTAAACACGCGGCGAGAGCCCCGACGTGTCATGTACGCCGTACAGTACTGCCTTCTTCCGATGACTGGTGTCCCTTGAAGTGCTTGGGGTCCCTTTTCAGTATTACCACGAATTCGCGAAGGAGTGTGGCATGGGCCCAGTGTTGTCTGGTTCTGTAATCTGTTCGTGTTGTGCTGCGTCGTCTGGGTTCATTGCTAGGGATTGTTGTAAGCTTGGTTGAAGAGCTCGTCATTTGCCTAAAATGAAGGTCAGATTTATATAATTGATGCCAGTAAGTTTGTCACTACCTATATGATAGGCTGGTTATCTGGGCAAGCAATGCCATCTTAAATTTGAGCAAATTGAGTATGCTGCATCTACGAATATAGTCCCAACTGATGTAGCTTCAGAATCAAATTATGGTCGTTCAGTATCACTGGGTTGTAAAACCACAATGTTTATCTGGATAATTGGTGCTACGACTTAAAGTGAATATTATTTATTTTTTAGACTGATTTTAGTATGATGCGAGTTGTGTATGTTTAAGTCTAAAGAGACGTTCACTCTCCAGACTGATTTTCAAATTACGAGCGGTGAATACTTATTATGGGGCGGTGATTGTTAACATCGAACGGAACCGTGCGTGTCATGTACTGGGTGTCCTGTCTGGCAGCGGGTCAGCTCTGTGTCGAGGTCGGCTGCTGGTGTCACAGGGCAGGACAGGTCGGCTGCTAGGTCACGGGGTGGGACGGGCGGACTTTTGGAGCCACTATTTTTGTACGAGTCTGGTCGTGCAGTGGCGATGCTGTAGCCTGGATCGTATCGGGTTCTGTGTGGTTCTGTGGACTTCGAGTGGTGCCTGCCGAGGCGGAGCTGGTTGTAGTGATTCCTGAGGGATTGCTTAGTATGATCAGACACCGTCCTGCTTGAGGGGCTGACGGTATTGTTAGGACGGAACGGGACAGGGTAACAGCTGTTCTGGCTAGTTCGCTCTGTGTGTGCCTCTGGTAGACAGCTAAGGCTTGAGGGGTTTGTTGCTAGGCTTCTGTGACTTGTGGACATTACTCCTGTGAGGGGTGAAAATGCTGAACCTCGGACGGTGTGGCGTTGTACTCGACTGCGTATGTCGGGCCCATTGTGTTGTTCTGTTCCCCTCCCTCACACCTTTGTTAGCTGTGCTTGTCGTCTTCCTGTCCTTAGGACTATAATGTGGACTGTCATTCCTTCCTGTCCTGTTCACGGCACACACTGTACTGTGGTTCATTCCTCCATCTGGGGCGTTCTTCGTCTGACGAAGAATTCGCATCCACCTCGGCTTACCGTCCCATCCTCATCTCGTCTGGCTCATGCCATGGGATGTGACCTTAGCTGACCCATATCGTGACCTTTGACCTCCACTGGCCGGTCATAGAGCTTAGGGAGTGTCTCTGTTAACTGTTTTACCGTCATATCTCATTGCACAAATATCCCTCACCTCGCCACTCATACTGTTCTCAAACATTACCTGTTAAATATGACCGGTCGCTAACAAAGTTGACTCCAGAGCCCTATCGACTCGCCCCGCCCTCTGACTCCGATATACCGACTCAGCCGACTCACAGTCAACTCAGGCACACCACTCAGACCCGACTCACACAGCACCAGTCCCTGCATCAGCGCCAGTCCCAGCACCAGCGCCAGCGCCGTCGTCACCGCACTGGGTGTCTCGCCGCCCGGCCGGTCGTCGTTTCTGTTGTCTGACACGCCCGATAGATGGCAGGCCGGTAGCCCAACCCGCCCGTGACTGTGAGGATGATTGTAGTCTCCCAGCCCTGTTGCACTCGGCTGTATCGATTGATGTTGAGTGCTCGGTACATGATTGATAAACAACGATGTTGGCCGCTCGAACTTGGAGGCCTGGCGGGTCATATCAGCTCGGACTGCCTCCACCTGACTGACCCGGGGTCAAGGTCACGTCGGAGAGTCATGATCGTGATCGCTAGACTGCCTGGAGTGATTTGACGATCAATAAAATGTATTGTCACATATCTCATTGTGTTCGCTTTTGAGTCGGTGTAGAATACGAGATGGCATGGTATCAGGAGTAACGTTTCAAAGCCCGAACGCTGGAGCGCCTCGAACCGAGCACTCTTAGCAGCGTCCAGCTCTGTGGCCTAACGTTCTCCTACTGAGCTAGAGTCGGGCTCTGCAAATGGCGAGTGCTAGTTTGCTTATTTCTGTACAGTTCAAACACTTTAGTCCGGCTTTAATTGCGAGGTGTTCCATTGGGAAAGCCTTATAGTGCGGCTTCTTCCACTAAGTTGAATGTAGTGTCTCGTTATGCATCGTACCTGTACCCAAGGGCCGTCCAGGCTTGTATATGTAAAAGACGTCACCGCTGACGAACGTAGGGTGGTCAGTGGGCAGTGACAGCGTAAAGCCGGTGTGATAATGGCGCTTTATTGCAGCAGCAGCAGCTCGAACCGAGGCCGCGGCGCGCAGTTCGCGCGCCGGCCGGCAGGTGGCAGCAGGCGCGCCGCCGTGGAAGACCAGCACACAAACCCGCCTCGCTATCCCGCCGGAGAGGCGCCGGTCTCAGAACGATGCGTTTACTGTTGTCGATGAGCTAGAACACCACCTCACACCGCCCGATACTAGACTGCCGGCGGGCCACCCCGTCCGGAGCGCGCCCCACGCACAGGGCGCAGAGAACGCGCCCTGATCCACCCCGGCGAGCCCGCGGCACCGCCGGGCAAGCTCCAACCGCCGACACGTCCCGAGCCCCGGCAGCTACCTCCGACCGGAGGGACGACCGACAATGGCAACGGGACCCAGAAACAATAAATGAAAGACTATAAACTGGGATATTAGGTTGAAACATCGGAACAGCTTAGCTTTCACTCGCGCTCCTATCACCCGCTCGATTACTGTTAAAGCTCTCGCTCGCTAACTCTCGCTCAACTCGCTTGTTCTCTTGCTGACGCTCGTCGACGCACTCTCTATCTCCGGGAGTCTCGCTCTCAGCACGCACCTCAAGAAGAGGAAGATACAGGCCGACAGAGGTCGGTTAGGTGGCTCGCTGATGGCGGCGCCTCGTCGGATTGTGCTGCCACCGACGCGCAGCGGCCAGAGGTCAAAGTTAGAGGAGCTCACACTGTGGCACGAGCCGGGATTGTCTGTGAATATCAGACTCGGCAGTCACCCGCGCCCCTAGCGGCCGGCCGCGCAGTTACACAAGGCTGTGGCGCCCGGCGGTTCGCTAGCACCAGCACACTGACATACGTGTGTACTAAATTATTAAAAATCACCAACAATAACAATAACGGTTTGCGACACCCGACGACGAGTCAGTCTGACTGAGAGGCGGACAGCCCCGCGCACTGGTCTACGCGTCACTCGGGCCGGTCCTGACTGATATTGATCGTTTTCACCTTACCACAGTCCCTGGGAATCTTCAGCAACTGCTCGGGCGTGGCGTCCGGCATGATGAGGCACATGAACGTGTTGCCCGTGCTCGTGTCCTTGGGGTAGATGGTGGTGGGCGAGAAGGGCACGCTCTTCTCCGAGTAGGCACACAGTCGATTGTACACCTCCGGGTAATCTCTGCGTAGACTCACGCCACGACTGCGCAGGTGGCGCACGATGTTCAGAAAGTTGACCTCGCGCGCCCGCTCGGCGGCCAGGTGGGGCAGCGAGTGGGGCAGCGAGATCAGGATCAGCGTCTCCAGCTCGTCCAGCTCGCGGGTGATCTTGGGCGAGGGTTTCCGCTGCGGACTGCGGCCTCCCAAGAGCGGGCTGAGCTTGAGCTTGGCGCAGCGCGGGATGATCTGACGCTCCCACTTGGCCACCCCACTGAGCGGCAGCTCGTTGAACACGCAGATCACTATGTAGAGCACCAGGCGCGTCTCCGGGTTGTAGGACTTGCACAGGTCGATGATGTCGCGGTAGACGAGGTGGCCCATCTCGCGAGGCAGCAGGTCCTGCCACTTGATATAGAGCGCCTCCGAGGCAGTGCCGTTCTCTCGAGAGAGGAAGTCGTCGGCCGACTCCGGGCTCGGAAAGAACACCTTGAGCAGGCCTCTGCCGTGCGTTAGATAACCCTGACGTGCCGTGCGGGAGAACTCGAGCAGAAGATTCTCATCCTCCTTGATCTTCATGATGATCTGCTTGGACATGGCCTGCGCGCGGATAGCGGCGCACACTCGTTTGTGTCTCTCCCAGTGCGCGCGCCGGCACTCCCGCGAGCAGTAAAACGTCTCACAGTTGTGGCACATCTTAAACACCGTCTTGGCCTCGGTCAGGTTGGTCGTGCGCAGGCACATCGAGTTCTTACACTTGATGGTGATGAACGAGTCGGCCGTCTCGAGGCCGTCCTCATCTCCGCGCACCTCGGCGGCCCTCTCGTTCTCCACCGGCGTGGTGGTGGCTCCCGAGCGGTCCGTGTCGCCCTCTGCGTCCGACGTGTCGTCTGCGAGCGGCAGCCGTCTGCCGAGCTCCTCTAGCGACACGCCCCGCTCGCCGCCCTCGCCCGGCTGCCAGTCGTCGTCGCTGACGTCGAAGCGCACCTTGTGGCCGTCGATGGAGTCGCTCAGGCGCCGCTCGCCGGTCGGAGAGCTGACCTGCGCCTGCAGTGAGTCGCCGCTGGACGCGCAGTTGTCCGTGCTGCCGCTGTGCTGTCGGTGCTCGCCGCTCGCCGAGTCGACGCTGTGCAGCTCCTCCCAGAGCGGCGGCTCCCCGGCCGGCTCCGGCTCCGGGTCGGGCTCCGGCTCCGGGTCCGGGTCGGGCTCCGGCTCACTGCTGACCCACGCCACCGTGGTGATGGCGTTAGGACGCTGCTCGGGTGGAGACACCGCCTGCTGGTGTTCCTGCGCGGGCGGACAGCCCCAGCCGCCGCCAGCAGTTACCACGTGGCCGTTCCGACTGGGGTAGTCGTCTGTGGGACGAACACCGAGGTTACTGGTGTGCACAGCGCAGAGTTACCGGTAGGGTGCTGAGATACTCAAACATTACCGCGATGGGCATCACAGCAAAAATCATGAGAAATTGCATACATTGAGATGAAACTGAATGAAACGTATTGTTTAATGTTCAGTAAATGATCACATCTCGCTTGCATCACTGTATGTCGAACGAGTAACGACACACATCAACAACCAACAGACTGAGCTGAGCTGACCCGGCTAGGCGTTCTAGCCTTTTTTCTGTAGAAATAACTAAGTTAATGAGATGCGAGCAGACTGAAGAGCATACATGCTGGTCTCACCTGTCTTTCACGGACTGGTAGAGCTAAACTGGGCAGATGCGAACTCAGCTGCGTGAGACGGGCATGCGAAGAAGTAACTGTTGCAACACTCAGCTACAGGGTTCAACAGAGTCGGAACATTCATTTGGAGACTGGAGACGTGATCCGCTGTCTGTGTGACATTCCTCCGAGCATGCCGTCAAGCGCAGCTCAGCAGAGGCGACATCAGCTCACATGCGTGCGTCAGCTGTTGGCTCAACTCGGCGTGAGTTGTGAGTTGTGAGTCACTGCTGCGGCACGTGCTGAGTGGCGAGCTACTGGTGCCGGGTCCCCGTGCTGCAAACTCAGCAGAGTTGGCATTACACTGCTGCTGTGTACGACGGAATGGTCGCGAGCTACGACGAGACGGATCAGAGCATTCAGTGAGTCACAGCCTGACCATGCATCCAATGAAACACAGAGAGCTTGGCTACACCCTGTATTATCGAATGGCGGCAAAGTTCAGATAAATAACACTCAACATAGGCATCAAGGATAGACTGCGCATGTCGCACGTGCTACACCATGTGCATGTTACATGCCATAGCCAGGCATATCGATATCATCGTCAACTAGGCAGGAAAATCATTGACACACAGACATTCGGACATTCGGCATGGGTTGGAACTGAACGGTATCAGTCTTCAATGAGTCGATAGCAATAAAAGCAAATTAGTCTGAAACCTTATCTGATAAGAAAAGCGAGCACACTACAAACATAACGTCACTTAAATATGCGTTGCATTCACTCGGCAACCGTGCTCAGAAATATAGAATCAACAATGAAAAGAAACACTTTAGAGAAAAGGGTAAAAAGGAGTGTTCGTGCCATCTATATTTCATGGAACAGAAAACTCGCAGCCGCAGCAACATACATGCTCGCATAGCATAACAGTAAAACCATTCAATGAAAAGTCATTCGCCAGCTCTATGCATTGCACAACTTTCTAAATACCAATAAAGGTTGTCCGGACTGGAACATAGTAGTTTTGGTCACGAGGCAGGACACGTAGGTCCTGAAGGGTCAGGTTGGATCGGAGGTCAGGTCAAGTCCGAGGATAGGTCAAACGATTTCACGTTTTACGTTCATCTGGTGCCCAGCCCAGGGTTAATCCCTGAGTGAAATTCATCTCGGATCTAGGACAGGTCGGCGGTCCTCCAGGTCGGGTCAGGTCAGGTCAGGTCGGGTCGGGCCGGTCTCTCCTGCGGCCCCTACACTCACCACTGGCGGACGGCGGCCGCTCGTAGTACCGAGTGCCGACCAGTGAGGTCTCATACAGCACCCGGCTGGGCGAGGCGCCGCGCCGCGAGCCCTTACTGCTGGTGGAGCTGGGCCGGCGCGGCTGCTGCTGCTGGCTGCCGCCCGAGGCGGGCAGGGCCAGCAAGGAGTCGAGGACGTCCTCCACAGTGACGGAGGAGCCCCGCCGCCGACCAGCCGGCGCGGCGGGAGGGCACGGGAGGGGCGCAGCCGGCCGGCCCGAGCCTGCCGGTCACAGGGGCACGGTCAGACGCCGGCGAGTGGCAGAGAGGAGAGCAGGGGAGTATTGGCGGTGTTGAGCGAATGGGAAACGAAGATGTCAAGTTGAATTACCACCGAGCCCAGTGAGCATAAACGCACGCTATGCATTCTGCGAATTCGAATTAAATTACATTTACTTTACTGCCTTGCGTGTCAATTGAACGGAATGAACAGACGCATCGCACAACTAAGGTCGAGAGGAAAATGCAAAACTGACAAACGTCTAGTATCTCTCACTCAACACGAGGTGAAGCGAACCATCACACCAGCCAATAGTTCGGTTACAGTTCATCAGCAAGCGTAACTATTACTAATTTGGTGTGCAAGGCATTTACGCTACACGCGGTGAGCCATCACCTAAAGCGGATATTGGTAGTGAAACACCTCATTTACATTACTGGCATCAGGCGCGAGTTCTGAGAGGGGCATCCCGGTACACATGCATGCATACATGCGACACCTGACACGAAGCAATCTGCATAATGAAGAGGATCAGTAATCCATGAACACATTACCGGTGTTTAGTAAATAACCCGGCACTAGTCAGCAGTAGTCTCAACAAAATCAAAAGAACGATTAAATGGCGAATTAGCGCTGGTAGTGTGAGTACAAACGAGCAAACGAGGGGTTAAAAAGGCGCTTGGAATGCTCACCTGGGCTGACTATGCTTGGCGGATACGTGTGTCAAGATGTGACGAAGGTACTGCCAAAAAAGAAGTAACGCAATAAAACGTGATGTCTATAGGGTGCAGATAACGTGCGGAGAACCAAAACAAAATAAACGCCGCGACTCCCTCTACTAATTTATTAAGTAGATAAATAATGAAATATACAACATAATCGTGACTAAAGATCGCACGATACGGTGATCACTGCAAACAAAACAACATTAAGCCCGATGTTCAAAACGATCGGCTTGTTTCTTTACAATGAGCGTCATTCACATAGCACATCTATTCAGCAACCGATTACATAAAAAAGTATTCTGCAAATCCGTGTAATTAAGCATTCCAAACGTAAGAACCGAAACACGAACACAAGTGCTCCTCTGCCAAGCAAACATCCATGCAGCTAAAATGCAGCAACGCCTCGGTAAGCGGGCGATCTAGAACGAGATGTAATAGGACACGATTCGACGAAAAGAAAAAAAAACGAGTGACAATACTTGGTCCTGAATCAGATGGAAAGGTGCACAATGGGACAAAGGTTACGTATTCCTCTTGAGGGCCTGGAAATTATGCAGTCTCAATATGTGATACGTGATCTAAATCGCAGACGAAAAAAAGACTGTTGCGCGTTACAAAATCACATAGAAAAGCATCACAAACATGCCAAACAAAACCATATTCAGACTGAGACGGAATGAGTGAAAAAAATCAAAATCAATTATTACGGCACCTTCAGGCGCAGAAAGCAACACAAACGCTGCGACAAAACACCGGATCTCGGATAGAAACATGCCCCGCCATTCGCCCATCGGAGGCATATATACAAGCAGCGACACTAGCGAGCGACATTGAACTCATGGAGCCCCGGTGGCCCTCTGATCAGCCGTCTGTGTGGGCTGACCTGACCTGACCTCTGACCCCGACCAGCGGGCGTCACACTCACACCATCAGCAACTCACCGAGCTCGTACCGGTCGCCCTGCGGCTCCGGCCGCGGCTGGGCCGAGTCGGACGCCGTCGCCGGCGAGGAGGCCGCGCTGCCGCCCCCGCCGCCCCCGCTGCCGCCCCCGCCGGCGGCCAGCGGGTCCGAGAGCACGGCGCCGGCCGCCTCGGGCGTGGGCGGTTCATCCATCGGCTTGGTGCCGACGAACGCCGTCTCGAGCCAGACGGGCCGCCGCGACGGCGACGTGGAGCGGGAGCCGCGCGCCGGGGAGCGCCGCCGCCGCGGCGAGCCGGCCCGGCCGCCCAGCTCACTGGCACTGCCCGACGCCGAGCCGGTCGAGTCAAAGTAATGCACTATGGCGCTGGTCACCTCGCGAATCGAGCTGTGCACGTCCAGGTCGGGCGGCGGACGGAGCGCGTTCACCGAGCCGGTGCTGCCGGCCGCCGAGCTGGCACCCGAGCTGCGCGGCAGACTCAGCCGGCCGCCGCCGCTGGTCAGGTTCCCCTCGCTGCGGCCGCGGGAGAAACTGCTGGCCAGCCGGTCGACGGGCGTCTGGTAGCCCTGGCCGAGCCGCTCCTGACTCCGCCAGCCCATGTAGACGGGACGCCGTCCGTGGCCTCCCAGACTGCCGGTGCCGCTGCCCACCGGGCTCTGGGTGCCACTGCTCGGCTGGGAGGCCCGCCCCACACCGCCAAAGTAGAGGCCAGGGCCGCGGTCACTAGCGGCCGGCGAGGCGGCGCCCGAGCCCGGACTGGTGAGGCTCTCCCGGGAGGTGCCGCGCACATAGCGCCAGTCGGGCGGACGCACCCGGCTGGGGATCACCACCTTGGACTGGGTGGTGGGTGTGGTGCACCGACTCGACTGCAGGCTCTCCTTGGAGGTCGACTTGGAGTTGAAGCCCGACCAGCCGCCTGTGGACACATGGGAGGGGCGCCGGTCAGCGATGACGCACACATGAGAGGTGCCAAAACCAGCCGGGCTCCACTTCAACGAGACAGGCGTCCATCACATAACGACAGCCGGAGGCCAGCGGCGCTATGAAGCGCGGAACTGGGTCTGCCTAATCCAAACAGAATCTATCACGTGTTCGGCAGACGCCAACGAAAATCATCAAGAATGTGAGATGCCTCGGCGCACGATAAATGATGAAATTTTCACGACGATGCACTCAATCACTAGACTTTACACAGAACAGCAAAAATAAAGCCGCAAGGAAAAAATAACGAAATAATTATCGATTCAACATAGCATTAATTCAGAACTAATCGGTTAAACGATCGTTGACGGCAAGCATTTCCGAAGATATCTATGGCAATATAATCCCTTTAATTTTCCCCTAAATGGTTGGATAAAAATAGGTCGTTTATCCCTTTTATGCGACGTTCCCGAGTGAAGTCGTAATATACTGTGCAATATCTCCAGGGTATCTTATCTACTGTGTAATAGCCAAGGCCGTAATTACTCAAAATGCTGACTGTCCTGTCACTGTGCTTAACTGCACCACTGCATCACTGCACCGTCCTGACCAGTGACCACCTATCGCGGAACGGTGAGCGCGATGTAATAAGAGTTGCAAGACTTTTGGTGGTCTCCCCTCTCCTGCTGGGTCCACCGTCAGAAATCCGAAATGAAAACATTCCTGTATGCTGCACGGCGTGCAATCTCCACATGTGACCTAAGCAGGGGTACCGTAACAGTCCAATCCAATAGACCTCGTACGGCGAGGGAGAGGGGGCCTCTGAGTCTCGGAGCGCTCTGAATCGGACAGCCGTCTCAGATTTACTTGTTCAGCAAACATCAACCGGGGAGCGTTGCCAACAGCGTCCCGAAATACATCCGTACTGCGGAGTCAGTGATAATTGTGCTGCACGACACTGAGTCATCCGAGTCATCTGCCGGGATGAGTCAGATGAGTCGAGAACTGTACCAGTGCAGTAGGATGACTCGACCTGGTTATGAACAATGTGCAGGGGACAGTGGTAGGGGTCGAGCGTGGGGGCTGGAGACTGATGTTACGGTAGCTTTATGGTGAAAGTGTCGAGCGGTGATTGGATATGGAATGAAACGAGAACAAGTGAAGTCAAGCTGATTATGGTACGTTATCTAATTAACCGTAATCTACCTCCCACTAAGATGCTGGTCCCATCAGTTGGCAGAGCTAACTGGCCATTTCAGTGAGAGAAATTTTGATGAACTAAGCCAATTTCGGACCTAACAGTAGTTACACAGGGCATCCTGTCCCCATCCGACCGAGTCCACCGGCGTCCACCGTCCACCGTTTGAGTCCGTTTGCACTCACCTGCCAGCGATCCGGAGCCATAGTCCCTCCGGAGTGTAGTCTCCGGCTTGGCGCTGGACTTTTTGTACCACTCGGGCGTGTTGAGGTTGCGCAGCGAGCGCTGGAAGCGCAGCTCGTGCTCGCTCAGCTGCCGTTCGCCCCTCATCAGGTCATTCTCGGGCGGCTGAAACAGATGGGACCGAGGTTAAACAGACGTTCGCGGGTGTATACAGTTATACACACGCAGCTGAAATGTGGGGTCGGCTATTTCATCGAGAGTAAACTGTTTGAGAACGAAAGATATAGGTATCCGGAAGTGAGACGCCGTATAAAATGAATGGCGAATGGTGCATATCAACTTAAGTTTAGTTAAAGTTATAACACTGAATTAACGCTGTGAATATAACAGGCGCACATAACGCAGCAAGTCTGATCAGTTTCGTGTTAGGGCTAGAGGTGGAAATGACTAACGTTTTCCAAAATCTTGACTAATGACTGACTAATGACTAATGACAATTTTGGTTGACTGACTTTTGATTGACTAAATTTTCGTCTCAAAAAGCTTGACTGACTATTGAATGACTAACGCTACTTTTCTTGATTTTGACTAATATTTGACTAAATTTCGGAATTTGCTAGCACTGCGTAAATAAAAATCTGCCGATACGCTAAGAAATATAAACGATGACCAACACCATGTTTTATTTTAATGTTTGTTCCATTCAGCATTTCAGAGCATGTGACCTGTGATGTTTGACCACAATGAACGCAATCAGCAATGAACAAAGCAGTGCAATCAGCAGCTGGGGATGTTGGCCACTGGCGGATCCAGGGGGGACATTTAGGACCATTGCCCCCCCCCCCAAAGCCCGTTTGCCCCCCCCCCCCCAAAAAAGACCCGAGTTTTAATATTACGCCTATGGCGGCGCATGGAAAGAAAGGGGTCATTTCGGCCATTTGCCCCCCCCCCCCAAAAAAAAAAAACGTCGGGCTGGATCCGCCAATGATGTTGGCCATGGTGGGCACTGGGCCAACGACATTATATGCCTGGCTGAAACGATTACTGTTAAAAGTACAGCCTGTGGCCGTTTACAAGTTACGCATCAAAGCGCTTCTAGACGTCCGATCGACACCGGAAAAAAACACCAATCGATCCCAAATTTTATCCCTAATCATTTTATGGCCAACGCAATGCGAAGCGGGCGCAAGATATGTCGGCCGTTACGACGCCTGGTTCGGGAGATAACAGGGGGAGGGGTAAAATTTACCCCCCCCCCCCCAGTCGGGCGCGTTCGGGGGCGACCCCAGTGGAGCGCGGGCTAAGTCACCTCACGAATTACGACAAATTAGTCGACTAATATGCAACAAAATCATTGACTAATGACTGACTAATGACTAACAAATATTTTGGTTGACTGACTTTTGACTGACTAAAAAAGCGCTTGACTAACGTTAGTCGACTAATTTTTGACTAATGACTAATATTCATTTCCACCTCTAGTTAGGGCAGCATGGAATGCCGTGTGAGGTCATGCCGTCCC